CTTGTTTTTCACTCTGCTAACTGGTTATGTTAGGGTAGTCAGACACAGATTTACTGAAAATAGTTGCATTCCTCCAAATATCCAAGTTTTCCTGTTAGCAATAGCAGCTTTAACAGTACTTGCCAGAGCTTGAAAAAGGGTCTTAGAGATATGCCCCTTGGTGCTGGTATTAAAAGAAGGACTCAAACATATGGGATTGCACTAACATGTTAAGCTTTTAGGTAGTGTTACTGAACCAACTACTAAAGTTTCCATGATGTTTTGAAAACCTAGTGGCATAAAATTCCAAACACCCTCCAGTACTGGTTTATTGTGATCTGATTAGCACCTGTTTGCCTGCTCTAATCCAACTTCAAACAAAAATGCATTTTCCCTACTATCATTAGACCACACGTTAGTGTCTCACCAATGCAGAATCCTAGGATTTAATCCTGCATTTTTTCATTAAAGAAACAATTTTTTCTTGATCAGCTCTGCAAATTAAGGCAAGTCATGCAGAAAAACAAGTGTGATTGTGGTATTATTCAACTGCTGTGGAAAGGGACTGAGAGGGTAATCTTAAAATATAACTGTAAATTAAAAAAAAAAAAAAATCTATGTGCATCAACTATTTCAACCACCACAGAAAAATTTTCAGACAAGTTACTCTAAATAAGCCAACCAAGAGTTAAACACTTGTTTTATTTAAGTAAAGTACCTACAAATAGGATGGGAGTGCTAAATTTCATTTGTGGATGATTTTTTTTTTTGTATTCAATTTTAATTTATCTGTTTTCCTCTTCTAAATTACACACAGAGAATAAGAATCATGGAACATTTACCCCAACCTTCACTAAGGCTCTACTGAACTACCTTCCCTGGTAGATACAGACAGAAAACTTTATCTTTTTTCTTGGGAAAAGAGTATAGTGGAATTATGCATTTATGTTACGACACCTACACCATTCATGGAGGTAGTCCTTACAAAATATCTGATTACTCAAATTAAAAAATCTGCATTTAGATTAGGCCTTGATGTTTCCCTTGGTGCTACATAATTCTTTCAGAAAGGATCTATTTTTTTCCCACTAAGATTAACATACCTGTGAATATATTTAAAATACCTTTTCCATTAAAAATCCTTCCAACTTTTCTGCACAAGTGTGCTGGTTTTGGCTGGGGTAGAACTTAATTTTCTTCACAGCTTCTTGCCTCAGTTTCAGTGTGTGGTGCAGCTCAAGGAAGGTAGGGGTGCGTGGAAGGTTGGGAGGAGACACAGGTGACTCAAATTGACCAAAAGGGATATTCCAGATCATATGGCATCATGCTTAACATAGAAAGAGGGGGGAAGAGGAAGGAAAGGGGAGACTTTTGGAGTGATGGCATTTGTCTTCCCAAGTCACCATTATGTGTGATGCAGCTCTGCTATCATGGAAATGGCTGAACACCTGCCTGCTCACTGGAAGCACTGAGCAAATTACTGAATTCCTTGTTTTGCTTTGCTTGTGTGTGCAGCTTTTGCTTTCCCTACTAAACTGTTTTTATCTCAACCTATGAGTTTTCCAGCTTTTACTGTTCTGATTCGCTTCCCAATCCCACTGTACAGGAATTAGCAAGCAGTTGTGTGGGGCTTGGCTGCTGGCTGAGCTTAAACTACAACAACAAGTAAGAGCTTTGACTGGCAGAATGTCCTTATGGAATTCTCAGCATGTTTTTGACTTCTGTATTGGATTCAAATTCAATAATGTACAGGCATTCAAACCGTTATCAAAAGTAGATATCTAAATGACAAAGATGCCTATTGCATATACATTAGTAATTAATAATTACCAATGTTTTGGAAATTGTGATCATGTAATTCTGTATTTCTTTGCTATTATTGTGCCAATATTGTTAAAAGATTTCCATTTGCATATCTTTGACATACATTTTTCAGAAATCATCAAGTTTAGTAATATAGAATGGTAGTATGTACATTCTCAGTTAATTTCACTAAATAGAACTATACTTTTTTTGTCACTCTTATGTGAATATGGGGTATTCAAGTATCTACAGGGTGGGCTCTTCAGAAGTAAGGTGTTTTCAGCTCAGACTTCTTCCCATCAAGAACATTGTAATTATTAAATAAATTCTTCACACATTCAAAAACCAGTTCCTAGAACAGGATATTAAAATAGCTTACCAACAAATGAAGCTTTGATACAAACTTGTCGGGGGTCACTCATGAAATGGGTCTCCATCTACTTTGATTTTCTATTGGATATTTAGCTGTACCCCAAAACCATGGAGCAAACTAGAAAAAACATTTAATTCCTCAACATGAAATGGACTGAAAGGCAACTGCTGGTCATTATAAAGGCAGATGGGTAGAAACGCAGTAAGGAAAAGCTTGGCCTAAACCTTTCACTTGCAATATAAACCTAAACATTCAGAATAAAACAGGGGTTACTCTATAAGGATTAAAACACAGACAGGTGTTCCTTGTGTTCTTGTGTTCCTCACCCACACAAGGTGAGAAATAAATTCTCCCTGTACAGTTGGTAGCTTTGTTTTTCAGTTTCTATGGTTTAAAAGCTTGCAGAAAAAGGCTTCTACAGATTCTTCAAGCCTACTCTTTCTTTTCATCAAACACATTTTGAAAGGCAACTCCCATTCTGTTTATACCTCTGTAATGTGGTTATTAGAATTTCTTGAGCTCTGATAGTTTGGTAGGTACTGGAAGAAATAGAAAAGAAGGTATTAGTGATGTCTCAGATGGCTTAAAAACTCAGATTACTCCTTCAATGAGATATTGTTGAAAAGACTGTCTAACATAGGCAAAGGATATAAGATATAGTTTCGTATTATATTGTTAGGCTCTAGTTAGAAAAGTCTTAAGTACTTTTTAAATCAGGATGATGAAAAGGGGGAATTTAATGAAAAGGGATTTAGGTAGTCCTGAACACAAAATGGGAGACAATGACAGACAAGATACAGAACAAGGACAAGAGGAATATTAAAAAGGATGCAGAGGCAGACTAGGGGCCAGGAAAGGAACAAACGAAAAACAAGAAATTTGTCAAGAACAGAAAAATATCTCAGTGAAAACTAGCAACTAGTAGAGGGAAGTAAAAGGAGATGCTTGCCAAAAATTAGAATAACGATTACTATTAGAATTACAATCAAGTCTGTTTTTTAGAGGTCAGGTTGTATGAAGTGACTGAAATCTTAATGTCTCAAGTAACTATACATAAAGCAAAAAGCTCATATATAGCAGGTTATGCTTATTGCAGATAAATTATTGATAAATACATTAATGGGAATCTGGCATAAAATCATACTACCTAAATTGACCACCACTTTCAATGAAATCTGCATGCAAAACTAGTGACAAAGAGAAAATAATTGCCTTGTACTTAATCAGTACCACTGAGTGATAACAAACAATTAATTTTATTTCATCTTTTCCAATGACTAGCCATAAAAACTCGTTTAATTTGCCTATTTTTGCATTGTGGTAATTTAGGCTATTATATTAAGAGATTTTCCAGAGTGGCAAGACTGATTTCTTCTATTCATTTTGGTTTTGATGTAGAGTATAGCATCTTCACTGTTGAGCAGCTCTGGGAGTATTCTATATATGGATCAAGCTAAATGAAGATGTATCTGAGGAAATCTAAAATACTAGACAATTATCAAAATGTTTTAAGACCCTGTGAATGCAGGGTCTTCATTCAAGGAACGCTCAGAAAACTTTATGAATATATTTGTGTTGTTATTTGTAATTATTTGACATTTTTTAATCCTGGTGTTTCAATAAACATAATCTGTGTTCCATGTCTTATGGTATTTTGTAAACAGTCTGTGCCTTTCAACATTTAAGTTCTGCTTATTTTGTTTTCTTGATGAATTTATTTTTCCATTTTGTTTACAGGAGACTCTTTCAATGCTTTTAAAAGTGTTTAAATTATCAGATTCCACATCTGGGTTATCAATATGTTAAGAAGTCAGAACTAGACATGGTGGTATGCTGTAATTACTATTCCTCAGGTTATGGATGAAAAAAAAGCAAGACAATTTTCAAATATGCTAAGTATTTGTAACTTCAGAGATTCATTTGTAATAACTTTCAGCTTTACTAATTGAAGGTATTCCAAAATTAAGTTCACAAGAAAAAGTGATTTTAGGAACTTGCTTTGAAAAGGGCTACATGCAAGCTATACAACATATGAAAATATAGCCGTGGAATGAGGGAACACATCTTGGAGTTTATTTCCACCAGAATTGGTACATATGTTCTGATAATGTCCTTATCAACATGATTTTAAGGCTTTCTCAAAGATCTGTTCAGCAAATTCCAAAGAAGCCATATCTCTTCCTCTTTGTTTTCCTTAGTCCCAACACACAAAAAGCAGCGACTTTTTTTCTTCCAGTTTTATTAATTCATACCTTATAATGCCTGAAGAGGTATGCTACTTTGCAAAAAAGCATGGAGCATGGATTTCCCTGGAACTGGGTCCAGCTTGTTCTCTAGGTGCATCTATTGCATTTTCAGCTCCTCAAAGCACTAAACTGAAGATTCAACCTTGAGTACAGATTCAGGTCTTACCTGAATTTATCTGTCTTAATTCTCCTGTTTATTACTTTCTCACACAATATAAGTAATAATAATTTCAAAAACTGTCTCGTTGTTTAAACCACACTTTTTTCAACACTTAGGCTCTTAAAACCAATACTATCCTTTTCCTTTTTCACGTCACATTCTGAATGCCATTCTGATTTGCATTCTCCCTGCAGACATTCTCTCTGGAGATCTTCTGATGTACTAAAATTAAATTAATTGTGCATAGAACAAACAAAATAATTCTAGCCTACCCAAGTTGTATGGTAGTGACATACTCAAATTCTTGATTTGCAATGTAACCACCTTCTTCTTTGACAGACTCAGAAGTCTATTTGAAAGAAAATCATACTTTCATCTGCAATAAAACAGAAAGCAATAACCTTGATATACCATGCTTTGAAGAAACTTCTGGGCTTACCTGCAATGCACAACCATAGGTCCAGCATCAGGTGGGTTGCAAGTCTTGACTCGTCGCAGGAAAGCTAAGAATGGTGTTGGGTGTTCTGGGACACCATGGTCAGGCCAGGCAGTGAACTGGAATTGCCTTACTTCCCTTTTCTCACTTGAACCATTCTATGAAATTTAAAAGTTTCATGACAAAACTTATACTTGAGATGATATCAGCACTTTTTAGTGAAACAACTGCAGAAGCATATATACCAGTGAAAATTGTTTAAATATTTGGGGCCAGCGAGAAAAAGAACTCTGGCTATGGAGGAAAATCGAAATTACAGCTTCAAACAATGTAAGATCTTTTAACTGTACTGTACACTTGTGCACCACAAGTGCCATAGACTTAGTATTCAGGTTTTTCACCGTGAGACTCTGCATTAACTTACAAAACTTCATGTTATCAGGAACATGTACTCTGCAGAAGTCTCAACATTCAGCGCTGTTAGAAGGAAACAAGGGGAAGGCTAGAAAGGAGGGGAATCGGAGAAATGGAATAAGGAAGCAAGGGGAAAAGCCACATAGGTAAGGCAGGAAGCAAAAGGAAGGAGGACAAGGTGACAAGAGGGAGGCCGGTGATAGAAAGGAAGGAAGGAATGAGAGGTGAGGGAAAAAATTGCCAGCCTTTCAATTTAAAAGTATATAGTAAGTATATATAAGTATATATACCTTGTGAAGTGCAAATGTACGAACACAGTATGTTGCCAATTCAACAGTGTCTAAAAGGGTCACTTGAATTAGTCCGTATGTTTCTGTGCCTCTGCTTGGCCAGTATTGATCACACTTCACCTGCAGTGAAAAACATATTATCATTTAATACATTTAATGCTGAAATTTATTACGTATCTGACTGTATATCACCACAGGCTTCAAAAGTATCTGGAGATAGAGTGGCCAACTTCCCACACAGGAAATTTATTTTATCATCCACAAGAAGTTCTCTTCTGTAGTAGTAGTAGATTATATACTGTCTTATTCCATAGGGGCAAGTTCAGTAAGAAAGATAATTGGAAAATGCTAACAAGCACTGAAGAAAAACCAATTTATAGTAGCTTAAAGTATGGCCTATATCTTCACTTTTCACAGTCCGTAGTTTAATAACAGTACTAATCACTTCAACATAGGTGGAACATTTTTAAAATATTTGCCATATTTACATTTGTCCCCAAACTTTTAAACTAGTGCTTTGATGTTAATATTTATTATGTATAGAAATAGGTCAGTACAAACAAGTATTTTTTAGAAATAATTTCAGTACACTGATAAATGAAAGAGCATCACAACTATTAAGTGGACTGTGAGAAAAAAATTCTGAGATCAGTTCTCATCAGAGAAGAAGCATGTAATGAAATAGGACCCACAGGCATTTAAAAAACATGGTTTGGTGGAGAGTTTATCCATCAAATTCTAAGATACACAGAACATTTAATTAAGAGGCATTTAATTTTAAGATGCCGCAGTCTAGAATATTAAAAAATACAATAATTCTGTGTAAGATGACACATAAGAGAATCATTTTTATCAGCATTGCTGATAAATCAGCATTGCTAAGGCTCAATAATTTTTTTCAGTTAAAAAGGATATTTACAATGATAACTGTTAAGAAAACAGAAATGCTGAATCCCTAAACCCACCAAAAAATGTAGTACAAAGCAGTGTGGCAGTCATGTAATTTAAAATGTTACTTTCAGGGGCTGATGGGTGAAACAGAGTGTTAATCTTTATTCTACTTATAGCCCTGCCTACACTACAGAAAAGAAGTTTAAACTGAGTCCAGTAATAACACATTGTTTTTTTAAATAAATGTCTTCATAAATCACTCTAAGCCAGACTCACAGGAAATTCAATGAGAATACACTAAAGGTAACAAACAACAAAAGCAGACTATTGCACAATATTTCCAGTAAAAATTGTGAATTGTTATGCTAATTCACTACAAAAACTGATTATTTCCCCAAAACGGAAATTTAATATATGCATCTTTGAAACTCGTGTGTTCTCCAGGTTCTTCCTTCTGCACTTATTGAAAAAAGACTTGGTATGCTCTCCAACTCTCCAGACACAAATAGATTTTGCTCACAGATCACTTTCTTTTGAGGCTCAGAGGTCACAGATCATTAATGGCTCACAAATCACAGTCTGAGAACAAGTAATCTAGATAGAGAGGAAAAAATTCTAGCCACTGAAGTAGAGGATAAGAATTCATTAGTGGCAAAATAAAGGGAAACAATTTTTTACTGGCAATGATAATTTAATTTAGTCATATGGAATTGCAACAAAGTAAATAAAAATGTTTACTGATACTGCACTATTAAAAAATGCGATTGATAGTGAAAAAATTCTCTTCTTAAGTAATTAAATAATTACTTCCTGTGTCGTTTACTGAAAGAGTAAGAATTGCAGATAGTTCAGAAATATCCAGTATATATTTGCAAGATTCCTAGTACTTGCCTCCTTGATCATCGTAAATCAAATTGGAAAGCAAGTTTTCAATTGAGACATTTAAATACAATTATAGTAAATCTAGCTTCACTTTACAATTAATATAGAAAGAGTGCAACATGTCTATATTGGTTACCTGTACTTTAAGCAATCAAGTTGTAGTTTATTATTTTTTAATTCCCATGGAATAACACATTTTTTTCATTGAAAATTTTGATGCATAATAAGTGTAACTTGTAATCTTAGCAACTGCAGGTTTACTCTGACTAAAACTGGGGTATTTTTGAAGGTTTTTCAAATTAATAAAAATGATTTTTTAAATTAAGAGAGAAAAGTGTACCTGTGCCTTTGCATGCCTAAATGTTATTCTCTTCTTCACCATGCAGATCTCACATATAAATTGTATGCTTATAGAAGCTTCCAGAAACAATTCCTGAAAAATTAAACAGCTTGCAGTTTGCTAACAACAAATTTTGACCACCTTGAAAATGACAGAAAATGTTTGTTTCATTTTTATTTTGTAATCTAATGTTATGAATTTACACGGACTTAGAAGGCTATTTTTCAGTTAGATAAAGAAAAAATAAATGTGCATTCTCCTTTAGGTGGAAATTTTGGTTTTGTTTTTGTTTTTTTTTAATGTACTAGTTTATCTAATATGAACTTCAATTATGGTATAATTGAGTTATACCATATCACTTTCTATAATTGAATTATACCATATCACTTTCTGTGAGAGCTACATGATGCAGAGAACTGCTGCTGAAAGTAGACAGTAAGTGTACAATAAGAAACTTGATTTGTAGTGTAGTATATATATTTTTTGAAAGTGGAAACTGATGAAAATAAGTATCAATTCTTTTAGAAAGAAAACCTGATTTCAGGTTGATGTGGATTTGACCTTCTGGAAGAAAACACAAAGAATAAGTTAATTGAACTACATCTTCTGTCCCTTTTGCCTATTGATTTTTCTCAGATCAAGAGGTTGTCTTCAGAGATGTGTCCTTATGTGCCTCCTACTCTTGTTTGCTTGGTGATCATAAACCTTATATTCCCAATACTCCTAACAATTTAGAGTCCAATTTATCTTTGTGAGAGATCAAACAATGTTTTCTATTGGACTTCACTGGTAGCAGAGGACGAGATAATACAAGTTAATTGGTAAGATACTAATTTCTGAGACAGAGCTCTTTCCAAATGTTTTATTCTATGTTAAGATCCCAGTCTTCAGCTCTTTAAGTCAGAATGTTACATATTCTGTGTTGTTTCAGAAGATAAATCTCAACCCCCTTGAGTCATCCAAAATTTAACACTAAATGTCAAGAAGTCAATTTTGAAATGTTTTGCCAAATGTGTTCTTGCTTTAGCTTTTTTGCCTGTGTTTAATTTCTCTGTAGTAAGAGCCATTTCTCCCTTGTTTCTGTAAATTATTTGGAAAAAAAATTATTGTGGCAAAGTATGGTGGCGATAATACTAGCCCTCCCCAGAGATACAATTATGGTATTTTTATTGTCACGGTTATTTTCTAATATACCTTTGATGAGCCCTCACATCATAGTATTTTTCTATCCATGCAGTTTCCATTTTGTATCCTCATCTTTTTCTTATACATTTAGCTCTGAGTTCCAAGGGTTGATCTTTTCCCTAGTAGACTGTATTCGCCTGCACCCAATGAGAGTTTTTCTGTGCCACTATCAGTACATAAGAACAGCTTTCACTGGTAATTATCTATTGTTCTCTTGCCTGTGACTAAAAATGGCAAGATGAATAAAGCAGACACATAAGTGTGAAATAATTCATTGGTGATTTAAGAGTGGTATTTTTTAAAGAAAAATGTAACTACGAGTACTGAAAAACATACATTTTACCGCTATTTTCACTATCCCAGAATCACAGAAACACAGAATGATTAGGTTGGAAGAGACCTTAAAGATCATAGATTCCAGTCCATGCCCTAACACATCAACTAAACCATGGCACTGAGTGCCACATCCAGTCTGTTTTTAAACACATCCAGGGATGGTGACTCCACCACCTCTCCAGGCAGACCATTCCAGAACTTTATCACCCTTTCTGTAAAAAACTTTTTCCCTATATCCAACCTATATTTCCCTTGGTGCAGCTTAGGACTGTGTCCTCTGGTTCTGTCAATTTCTGCTTGGAGAAAGAGACCAACCCCCACCTGACCACAGCCACCTTTCAGGAAGTTGTAGAGAGTGATAGGGCCACCCCTGAGTCTCCTTTTCTCCAGGCTAAACAACCCCAGCTCCCTCAGCCGTTCCTCACAGGGTTTGTGTTCCAAGCCCTTCACCAATCTCGTTGCCTCCTCTGGATGCGCTCAAGGGTCTCAACGTCCTACCCAAACTGAGGGGACAGAACTGGACACAGCACTCAAGGTGTGGACTCACCAGTGCCAGTTCAGGGGAAGAATGACCTCCCTGCTCCTGCTGGTCACACAATTCCTGACACAGGCCAGGATGCCCTTGGCCTTCTTGGCCACCAGGGCACACTGCTGGCTCATGTGCAGTTGGCTGCTGGCCAGTGCCCCCATGTCCCTTTCTGCCTGGGCACTGTCCAGCCACACCGTCCCCAGCCTGCAGGTGGTTATTGTGGCCAGAATGCAGGACTTGGCACTTGGACTTGTTAAACTTCAATTTATTGGACTCCGCCCATCCATCCAACCATTCCAGGTTTCTCTGCAGAGCCCTCCTACTCTCCAACAGATTGACACACACTCCCAGCTTAGTGTCGTCTGCAAATTTACTAATGATTCAATCCCCTCATCCATGTCATCAATAAAGATATTGAACAGAGCTGGTCCCAGCACAGAGCCCTGAGGGACACCACTGGTGGCCGGCCCCAGCTGGATGCAGCACCGCTCACCAGCACTCTCTGGGCCCGGCCATCCAGCCAGTTCTGAACCCAGCACTGAGTGCTCCTGTCCCAGCCATGGGCTGCAGCTTCTCCAGGAGTGTGCTGTGGGAGACAGTGTCAAAGACCTTGCTGAAGTCCAAATATTCAACATGCACAGCCTTTCCTGCATCCACCAGGCAGGTAATTTGGCCATAGAAGGAGACCAGGTTGGTCAGACATGACCTATCCCTCCTAAACCCCTGCTGGCTGGGTCTGATACCCTGGCCATCCTGTAAGTTCTGTGTGAAGAGACTCAGTATAAACTGTTCCATAATCTTACTGGGTACAAAGGTCAGGCTGACTGGCCTAAAATTACCAGGGTCCTGTTTCCCACTCTTTTTGTGAATGGGTGTCACGCTGGCCAGCTTCCAGTCCTCTGGAACCTCACCAGTGAGCTGGGACTGTTGCTAAATGATGGAGAGTGGATTCACAAG